ATCTAGGATCACCTTGAAGTGGCCAGAACATAAGTTCCATCGGGTCACCTACAATTTGCCTGCAAAGTTTGTTCAGCGTTTTGCAATCACCTATGGTGGGGGAAGCAGCGGCAGAAGCACAACGTGAAAACTGATAACACGACTGAAATTGAGTTCTTGATTGTAACCAATTGATACTACCTAAGAGTGATCTATAGGCAGTGTGAAGATCCTTGTCACATTTGTCTTCATCCTTCAAACCTTTTGGTATGACAACCGCAGTAAGTTCACTGACGCAAAGTGATTGTTCAACAGTGATATGTGATTTCTTCTTGGTCTTCTCATCAATGATCCATTTCACACGTTGACCAGTGAACATCAAATCATTCACATCTTCATGACCAATCTTGAATTGTGACTTGACAACTTTCTTGAACTTCTCCAGAAACTCTGGAGTTCCTGTAATGAACAAGTCGTCAACATGCAAACAACACATGCCAATAGGTTTTCTTCCCTTGGCATTACTGCCATTCACAGGGTCCATGAAGTGTTCCAAGAGTTGTTCAACAATCTCAGGTGTCAACTGTGGTGTCGTGGCAAGATAAGTACGCTCTGAAGGTAAGAAGACTGAAACAGGTACTTCAGCTTCTTCTTCCAAACTTGTGGAAACATTGTCCTTGTTCATGTCATGATTCATCTCAAGCAACCACCAAACTCCTTTCCTCTTCACAATAGAAGTTCTCAAGTGAAACTTCTTTCGATCATAATGTGAATCAGGAGTTCTCAAAGCTTTTGCACGATAGGCAACTTGAGCATGACCATTTTCAAAAGGATACCAACCAGACTTGTGTTCAACAGATTCCAAAAACTTCAACAAAGTTTCATCAACAACAGGAGGCCAAGCACAATCTTCAACCTTCTTCTCCTTGAACTCTTTCCTCTGTTTCCATGTTTGGGTTTGTTGATAGCAAGCTGAAAACAATCTTTCTTCAACCAAAAGAGACTTATGAACTTCCTCAGCAATGTCGGAGGATTCATCACGCGTTTCCTCACTGTCTTGTGAGCTTACGTAGTATGTCACAGGTGCTGGTTCTGTTGCCTCAGAGTCAGCAAAGCTAACCTGTTTTGGCTCCTTGAAAGCACCATCATAGCACACATATGTACACCTGTCAGCTCTTGTAGGTGAATACCAAGCGAAATCAGAAATTTGTCAAGGCGGTTCCACCATCTACGTGGTGCGTCCGCAAGTCCATAGACGGAACGAGTGCACAAACCAACCAAGTAAGGAGGCAAACCAATGTCAGTAGGCAACTGAACATGGATAACGCGGCGGTCTAAGTCGTATGTTTCCCCCTGAAGGAAGGCAGTTTTCAAGTCTAAATGGAGTAAATCCCAGTACATCGAGGCTGCATGCTGAGATGCCACACGAAAACCATACCTGGTAGCAGTAGGACTGTCAGTCTGTAAGTCATACTTTTGAGCATCTTGAAAGCCTCTACATACACATCTAGCCTTGAACTTCTTGAACTGTCCATCCTTATCAACCTTGATTGTAAGCACCCATCTGCCAGTGACATAGTTATCAATCTTATGACGTCTCTTGTCTCTGAAAGTCATGGCAGTGAAATCCAGAAAACTTCTGAATTCTTCAAGCTTGGCTTGTTTGATCTCCTTAGCATACTTCCTCAAGACTTCTTGGGTGATAACTGATTCTGCCTTTGGCTGCTTCTTTCCATTCTTGGCAAGATACTGTTCAAACTGGTTGAATCCAGTAACATCGTATGAACCAAACTCAGGTGCAGCTTGGACCTTTGGTCCTAAAGGAACGAAAACAGTACCATCAACATCGACAAAATGAGAGTGGTCTGATGTGTAAGGTTCAGTGTCCACATCTTCTTCCTGAAGCTGAGCAATGTCATCCTCAGTCAAAACAGGAGTGTCGTCTGTTTCATATGGTTCTGTTTCATCATCATGTTGTGATGATACCAATTCTGGTGTTCCTTGTGAAGACTGCTGTTGCGCTGGCTGCGCAAAGTCACCTGGCGTAAACGATGTTGGTGTAGCAGTAGGCAATGGAATTGTATTATCATGTGAACTTGAGGCAGTAGGATCATGTGAAGGTCCTTCATCTTCATCTTCATGAGGTTTCTGAGTAGGAACTGAAATTGGCTGAACATGACCTGGTAATTGAACCTTTGGCCTCTTGATAATCACCTTTGCCTTTGCCTTTGGTAAAGCATCAGTAGAATCAGTTGAGATCTGTCTCTGTTTCCTTTGAACTCTGATAAGCTCTGACGTCGGATCAGGTCCTGGTGGTGAATCGTCATCTTGTCCAGGATCAGCAATCTCTTCGATTGGAATGTCAGGATTGGAAAACGGAGTTGATGGTGAACTTGGTTGATGTGTTTCCCCCGAGTCCTGTATTCCTGGCATATCCAAATCATCATCAGGTGGTGGTCCATAATCATCTGGAATGATGTACTCTTGATCATCATCATCACCTGGATCAGGTCCAGTATTGTAATCAGGTTGATTATCATAATCCAGAGGATCATCTGGTTCATCACCACTCAACATCTCATCATCATTTGGTGGAACATCACCATGCTGATCTGGATGAATGGGATCGTCACCATTTGGTGGTGTGCTACTTAAACTAGGAGGATCTTCAACTCTCCTTTTGATAGCACCAGTCGTTTCTCGTGAAAAGACGATCATACTCCATTCATGGATTTTGAACTGTTCATGATGTGGATACAACTGTGACACAAACATGAAGTAAACATGATCATAGTCACCAGGTTTCCAAATGAGTAAGACAGCATCTTCAGGATGTTGAAACAAAGGATTCACTCTTCCATAAGTTCCTCTGAACACACTGCAATCTTCAAAGTACATTTGAGGCAATGTCTTCCTTCTGACATCTTGAAGTCCAGGAATCAATTCAATGATTCTGGGGTCAGTTGATTCTCTGACACTAGCCTCTGTACTCCTTGGCAACTGATCAATCTTTCTCAATGTTTGAACAAGTAACTGAGTGGTAAATCTCTGTGGAAGAATGTGCTTCAACGGCACTGGAATCGAGGTCTCAACATGATGCAAATCTTGCAACAAACATGAGCACTCAGGTTCACGGTCCAAAAACATTGACGTGCCACACAATGCTCCATCATCAAAATGTTCCAACAGATCTTCAAACAAGAAACATTGTCTCATGTTCTGCAAAGGTACAAGTTGTGTGAACTGCGCAATGAATGAACACAAGTGAGATGGTAAGACCTTCCATTGTGGATCATTCCAAAGCTTCCCTTCTCTATTAAAGGCATGCTGTGGTTCCAACATGTCACAGTCTTCATCATGATTGTAATACACACGCAAGTTCTTGATTGAAGGATCACAACGACAGTAATTTGTCATGTCAAGGTTGAAACAACCAATGTGATACTTGATTCTGTCCTTCTGAAATTTCTTCCAAGCCAAAAACTGAGCAAATCCTGAATCAGGTGGTGCAATCACCAAGAAACCTTTTCCTCGGTCAACTTGCCATTTCATCACATCAAGGCAAAACTTGAATACCGAGTATTTCCAGGAATTTGGTGAAGGATTTGTGATTAACACGTATTCAGGATCAAGCTTCTCAAGTTGTTTCCAAACTTGGTTTTGTTTCTTTTTGCTGTTGAAACTCCAACCATGCTTGTGGTCAATGGGTTCACCAACCTTCATGTTCAATCGTGCCATGTGCCAACTAAGACCAGTGTTGCTACTGAAGAGTTCCACAACATCACATTTGCCAGTTTGACAAAACCAGTGAGCTTGTTCACCTAAATAGGCTTCAGCATATTCAGCTATGTCTGGTTCATAGTCATCTTCATCTTCAACTGCAAGTGGAACAGGTTCTGATGTGTCAAGTCCAGGAACAGCAACATCATGCCATTCATCATGGTCACGTCTCACCTTCGATTGATTAACACGCATGACTGCGTTGTCAACATGAACATTGACCATAGCACCTTCTTGAGAGATAACAGTACCTCTGATCCATCTTTCCTTCTTCCATGCCTTTGAAGCAATAGCATTAGCATTGACAGGGGAACTCCAAACGAAAACCTTGTCACCTGGTTTGTAAGGTCCATCTGATGGCATTGTTCGTTTGGCCATGTCATGTCTGAGGTCAGCAGCTTGTCTGGCTTCCTGATGTGCCCTCAGTGCTAACCTTTGCAACTCGAGTTGTGTTTTGTCTTCAGGTAAAGGGATCAACACTAAGTTGAGCAGGATCAGAAGTCTCAATATCCAGAAGATCTGGTGGTCTTCTACCAGTGGCAATTTCCAAAGGAGAATAACCACTAACAGTGAGTTGAGTGTTTCTGGCCCAAACAGTACGCTTCACAGCTTCTCTGATGGTGATTCCTTTGAACCTATCATCTTCAAGGTTCTTGGACATGATTTGCCATTGTCGTTTGAAAAGTCTGACAGCTGATTCAGCTCTGTTAGGCCATGGGGTTCTTGAACCACAGGGACATTCCTTGATACCATGAGTTCGGTAATAAGTTATCTTGATCCAAGAGCTTTACTCTGTAGGAAGGGTGGAGGATATATACGTATATACGTATAACTAAGGCATTTGTCCAAGACATATATTGACACATATGAGCCGCATATGTAAGAAAATACAGTGGCTAAACACATTAACCCTCATATCAATTCAACATAACCATGTAACATGGGAAAATCTATGTTTGCAGACACCTTGCAAGTTAATTCAGCACGGGTTTGTCATCTCAACCTTTGCCTAAAACACCTGTGCATATTACATCACATCAACGAACTCGCTTCGAAAAAAATAAGTCATGGCCATGCTCGATCGATCAACGGCAAGGCCAGTCAGGAGCAAACGATTTTATCTTCTGTTCCACAAGCTGAATCGACCCAAGCCCATGTCAATGACAATGAGCAGCGGCAGCACTATGTGCGCAAAAAGGGTGGGTGATCCTAATGTACAAACTTGGATGGGATTTTAGCAGTCAAAACTCCAGGTCAAAATCAATGTCACTTATGGACATGGACATGGCCTGCTGGACAGCGGCCTGTGTACCATCATCTTCAGTCAGGCACTCGGCACACAACAGAAGGGACACATCAACCGCACAAATGGCTGAAGTTGAAAACGAATTCCCGGCAAGGTCGCTCAATTGAACATCTGTGCAAGCGGCAGCACCAGGCAAAGACTCATACGGATACCCTTGCACACGCATGAAATCTCGGCCCGTGAGGTACCTATTTAACTTGAAATTGAAAAGGTGAGCTCCTGGGGTGATTGTCGGGGACAATTCGGAAACACTAAACCTAGCTCGTGCCATCATCTGACTAGTATCAGCCCAAACATTTGCGGGATCCATGGTTCCAGCCACGCACAAAATCTCCTTCTCCCTGGGCAGGATCGTAGACAGCCACGGGTTATCGTGGAGAGAGGGTGGCACAGGAGGCGGCCAAGCGACACCCAGCTCCTCGCAGAAGTCCATGTGCATCGTCACCCATTTTGTGTCCTGAGAAGAAGGTTGACATGATCACTCGACAATGAGCACAGTGCGACGAGACAAGACAGAACAAGACGGGCGTGCTGTTGAGTGAACCGCAACAAGAAGGACCGCTGCTGACAGTATCGAAACCAGAATATTTAAATTGGAAGTGAACCCGAACATAAGGGAATGGCAGGGAGGATTCAACGGACTACTTCTGCCAACACGATCATGAGAGCGCATTGCGTGCCGTTGGTTCAGCAAAAAAACATGGACAAACCTGATGGCATCGATTATCACTATCATCACGTATCTGAAACATCGTCTCAACGTTGGAAGTTCAAGGATATTGATATGATATCGTCATCGTCCATCTATACTTATCGAACCGATGATTATTCCGAGAACCAACCGACGATTGAAATCGTGAAATCAATCACAAGATTCTTTCTGAATCTCACCTTCTGCAACACGCCTGTCATGCTCTGCCCTAGCTTCTTGTCGACGGGCAAGTTCAGCCTTGAGATACATGTCATTTGCTGGCAAAATGAAGCGATCGAGTGGTAAAGGGCCTGTCTTGAGTGCATCCAACATCTTTGCTACATCATTGAAGAATTGCCCGGGATCCGTTGCTGGTGTCACGGATCCATCCAACCGTACTGCGACCACATAGACCCTTTTCCTGCGGGGCAGCTCAGGGCAAGATTGAGATTACCTGCGTTTGGATGAATGGTCCGAATGGTGGGTTGGTGAGCTGCTGGCTGATGGATGGATTGAAATTACCGGTTTAAATGGTTTGTCCAAGAGCCAATCAATAATTAACACATTCACTGACCTTTGTGGTTCTTGTATTCAGGATTACTACGACGACGATTACCCTGATCACTGATCTGCCTGTTACTAATGACTCCATACCATTGCCCAGAACACTTCCCAGATCCCAGCTCGGGTGGATACATGTCCTGTTCTGAGGAAGAATGTAATCTGATGTTGTGATGTGGAAGACGCGGCAAGCATACATACCTCCATCCAACGAGCTAAGCTCGTCCAGTGCCTTGCTGAGGTTGGAGTCTGACACTGACTCGCTGCCTATACCAGATACATTCTCTAAAACGACAAGCTTCGGCCGCACAGCTGAGATAACACCCAGTGTTCCGTAGAACGTGCTCACAGAGCAGTTGGTATGGTCCTGGCGTTTCATTGACTCCCTGTACTCCGAGAACTTCGTGTTCATCAGGCTGTTCCCTTTGCATGAGAATCCACTCTTCAAAATGAAGATGTCGCCCAAAGTCCTCTGAAGATTCGATGACTCGGAACATATACACCAAATATTTGGGGAAAAGGCGTGTTAAAGATGGTGTTGCATAAACACTAGCTACCTCATGGCCCGGAGGTGATGAACCAACCGCAAACATTCACACATCTCGAATCATGAATCATGACATGACTGACTATGACTATGACTATAGCGAGTCATCGCCACCATCGTCATATTTAAGTCTACAAACAAAGAAACAAAAATACAAAAAAAACCTAAACATATATATATATATATAAACTATTATCTCTACATCATATCATATAATTAATATATCAATATTAAAAAAATGTATTTAATGTAATTATAAAAATATATGCGCATATAATGCAAATATCTATCCTCAACAGCCCAACGACATCCTTTTCATCATCATCACACCGGCCAAAAGCACGATAATCTCATCATCAGCATCGTCACCATCATTATCATCATCATCATCATCATCATCATGATCATCATCGCCACCGCCACCATCACCATCATCGTCACCACCATCATCACCATCATCCGCAGGGACGTGGAGGACCCACACGCACTCCCAGGGCTACCACCCCCCAGGGACGTGGGGACCACACACGCACCCCCGCCGCTCATCATCATCAACATCGTCATCAGCATCTTCAGCAGCATCATCATCATCACCACCATCATCATCGTCATCACCCTCATCATCGTCACCGTGACACTTTCGTTATCATCATTAACAACATTAGCATCACCATCATCATCATCATCATCACCATCATCATCATCATCATCACCACCGCCACCATCGGCAGGGACGTGGAGGACCCACACGCACCCCCAGGGCTACCACCCCCCAGGGACGTGGGGACCACACACGCACCCCCTTTCGCTCATCATCATCAACATCGTCATCAGCATCATCATCAGCATCATCATCATCATCATCATCATTGTCATCATCCTCATCATCATCATCATCATCATCCTCTTTGTCATTATCATCATCATCAACAAGATCATCATCATCATCCTTTCCATCACCATCATCACCATCATCACGATCATCACGATCATCACCATCATCATCAGCATCATCATCATCATCAGCAGCACCATCAACATCATCTTTTCTTCTTCATCATATTCATCATCATCGTCCTCATCATCGTCATCGTCACCACCATCATCATCATCATCACCATCAAAATAAACAACCATCGGCGCGCAGTAAAACAGACAAACCCCAACTATCAAAATAGTCCAACAAAATAAATTTAAAATACGATGTAATGTGAAATAAATGCTACGGGCTGATGTCAGGGGCATGGCCATTAATCCCTCATTGAGTCATTGCAAACGGTTGTATGCGAACGGTTGCGAACGATATTGCAAGCGGTTGCGAACGGTTGCAATCGGTTGCGAACGGTGAGAAGCGGTTGCAGGCGGTTGCGACCTGCAGGTGACACAATGTTGAATGAGAATGATGAGTAAAGTTTCACTCTCAGACCTCCAAAGCTAAAAAGGAAACCCTTGACTACGCACGCGCAGGGAAAACATGTCAAACTTATCCGGAGTTGTGTTTGTAAAGATTCGGATTGAATTGAAATAAAAACAACTCATATGCTGATGTATGACTGTGACTGTGATGACTCTCATCACTGATGACATAGAGGTGGTCTGGTACTGTGTGTGTTTTTACCCACGTCATCCCTACGAACTGCCTATATTATATCAGCTATATATAATATAATATAATATAAATAATATAAATATGAATATTGATGTAGTGGGCTATGCATCATGGCTGCGATCGATAAATTCATGACTCAGACTCATATAGCCTGTCCTCGGGTCGCATGGTTTTTTGTGTTGCAGACAGTAGTGCGGCTTTTTGGCCTTGTTCTTCTTTCGGTCATCTGCATCATCGGCGAGGTCCATGTCCACATCTGCACACTCCCCAATCGATCCGAGACTGACAACATCGTCGAACACGCACACCGATTGGCTGACGACGTTGTTGATGAGGAACTGCTGTTTCCACGGTTCCTTCTCGCATATGAATGCCAAGCTGCACCGAAGTGGCGACAGGAATTCCTCAGAAAATTGTCTCACAACAGTCTCAACACTAATTCTCCGGCACCGGAGCCTGAACATAGCGAAGCCATTTTCATGTCAGTAGGCAGTGACAAGACATCCTTTCCAAGCAAGTCTTTGCCCTTGCGAACGTACATGGATGCCACATTCGTCAGCAGGTTCTCGATGTCAACAGAGTCGTCTTCATTCAAAATGCGATGGTGACGAGCCCACGCAAGTTCACCCAAGTCAACATGGCCTTCGCTGGGAGAAACTTTGCTGGGAGAACCATCCTTGCCAACATCATCTCGATCAGGATGGTCAATCTTTTTGGTGCTTTCACCAGTTTCATTCATCTCAGTCTCAGTGGTGCTGGTGGTCTGTGCAGGAATGGCTGTATTGGCAGCGTTGGTGTCCCCAACGTTGCCCTCTGAATCCTTGGTCTTGCTTTCTGTCTCTGTACGTCTACGTCTTTTCACTGGCTGACTTTCATAATCGGAGTCTGCCTTGCCTGCATCGGAAGCAACGTCACCTGCCGTGATCTTGACCCCGGGTGGTGTACTTGGACTGAGATTGTCACTATCAATTACACCTTCTGGTTCATCTCCTCCAAAAAGATTGCGTGGCTTGTCATGCTGTGTAGGATTTTCACCACCAGATGATGCTGGCTCAACGGACGTACCCAATGCCAATGCCGATGCCTGATCTGATTGGGGCTCCTGCACAGAAGTGCCTGCTTCATCAGAAAGGCGACCAGGTCTCAGGCAATTGCAGCTATTGGCGCTATTGGCAGCGGCATCTGTGGAAGCATGGATTCCTGGCGGCACTGGTTCGTCGCAGGCGTCGCCCTTGGTCAATCCCTGTGTTGTTGACGGCGTTGCTTCTTCGCCATCGTGACACTTCTCAATCTCACGTACGTCTTGCGCAACCAGCGATGGCGGAGGACCGCTTGGAATCACATCACCATCCTCGTCCTTGTGATTGGCCGTATCAATGCTCTCCACATTCTGGAGCTTGTGGTTGATGAAGTTGACTCTGGAAAGATCCAAGGGATCGACACCTTTTTGCGTGAGAAATTCACTGAAGCCCACAAGGTCTGCAAAGCATAGATCCTGTCGAGCAGATTGACACTCAGTGTTGCTGAACTGTGGGTCCTTGGTGTCCGACAAAGTCTTCACAAAGTCTTCATATAAAGGATGTTGCTTGGCTAAAAGAACAGCTTCTTGAAAACCGGGATCGCCTGGATCAACACAACGCAATTGATGATCATCTCCATGTGGTCCACCCTCCTCAAATCCAGTTGGAGACTGCGAGCCGGATGCTGATACACGTCCATGGTCAAGAAGAAGCTGCTCATCCATCATCTCCTCAAGCTTCTCCGTTAATGTCGAACCCCTATCGCTCTCATGGTCACACCCTTCTACACCTTTAGCACTGCACTGCTCCATCTCCTGAAGCATGTCACCAATGTTCACATTAGTCGCAGGAGCATGCACCTAAGCATTGCGCTATCGATCTGATTAGCCGATGGGCCGGTAGAACATGACAATATTATAATTTATAAAACTATACTGCAGCATACAGCTACAGAGTATGTAGAAGGGAATGTAGCATGCAGCAAGTAGCATGCAAGATTCAAGATGCAGCGTGCAGCTTGCCAGGCAAATTCAGCAACCCCAGGCCAGGTACAGGATCATTCAGACCAGAAAAGATACATGCGGAGATGACATTTGGTGGTGTGAACCTAGATTTGCACAGGAATCGCAAACTAGTAGTTAGTAATAAGTAATAAGTAATAAGGGATGTCACGGATATCAGTTCAGCCAAAGCCCCAAGCCGACCAATCGACGTTGCTCACTGTCACTCGCTGCCGCATTCACAGGCAAGTGGCTGGTACTGGAACTGGTGCTTTTTCATCGACATTCATCTCGCTGTTGGCAGCCGAGGGCTTGCCGGATCGGGTAGTCGTAGAAGAGGATGTTGATGTCGAGGTAGTTGATGTCCTTCCACTAACACCAGAGGATGACGCCACAATAGGCGTTTTTCCTGAATCCTGGCTGTCACTTTCCACAATGGTGACTTCGGATGCGCATGCATGTGCACCCGTGTCGGACTGCGATGCTCTAGCTCTGGTATGCACTATACCTGTCAACTTCATCTGACCGGGTGGTGGCGCATGGTCAAATGGATTGCCGTCAGGGCCCTTCTTCACTCTGGACTTCGTCTTACCTTGTACCTTCTGCTTAGGAGTTGGATCTTTGGAGGCTGCATCCGTTGCACGTTTGCGGCCCATGGTGTCGAAGCTAGGATGACGTTTGCTGATGTTGCAAATTTTGCTGACCTGCACCTCCTATGCAACCATGTCGAGATAGAAGCTAGAAGCTACGTGTATCGATTCTGAGTGACGAATCATGAAATAATATTAAGAATCGCATCTAGCAAGTATATGTGACGCAGTCTCTTGGTATGATCGGTATGACGACATGAAAAATATGCGAAATAAAGTGCAGCACTGATCGCCTTACTGTCAGTGGAAAGTAAGCAATGACAAATCCCAGGCTCAGCTCAAACTGAAGTGCAGGCGGCGGAGACACACGCGTCGATAGCGAAAAGCTTTCCGACTTTTCAACATGTCAATCAAAAGCTTCAGGTCTAAAGCATTGATATTCATACCATCATGGACTCTCAACCTTTTCTTCTCACATGCCGCATCAGTAAAAGATCCTTATGATTCGATGCTTGTCATGTCCGTACAGGTAAAGTAAGAAGGGAAATGCAGCAACCAAACCCATACTGCTCCCAGTGGCAAACCACTCAAGCCTACCATTAAACTTGATTCCGAAACATGTGCAGCACTTGGCCACACGAGTGCCTCCATCAGATCAAATCTTATGTGCGAGCAAGTTGCAGTTGCCGGCCACCGCAAAAACAAGCAGAACATTGGGTGGTGCGTGAGAGGGTCATGGGAAAATTGGGAACAACAAATTGTTCAAATTGCCAAATAAGCAATGGCAATTTCAATAGTTTCGTCTCTGTCACTGTGCCTAGTCAGCAACCCATCCAATATTCTGTTGATGTTGGTTCACATCAAGGATTCCTGCTGAACACCCATCACTGTGAATGGGATATACGCAGACGGCGGTAGTGACTGTGTTGGTCACGGTCATTGGAAGCTTATCAACACTATATAGTGTTGGATACAGAAAGCATTTCGACAAAATTCGCAACACAGTCAAATGGCACTGTACAACAGCTCACATCTGTGTCCTCAAAAAATGCAAACCCCGGTTGATGTGATTGTATTTTACTCCGCAAGATTCTGAGCTAGTAGGGATCATGGCCTTCTGTACTGACGAGTTGAATTTTGCTATGGGACGGGTGGTCTGACAAACCAACCCATATCATATGCCTGTATCATGATTCATGATGGAATCATGTCTATATCATCAACAATGCGAGTGTATTTCCTCTTTGAAGCTCATGCTGTTCATCCAAAGTCAGACCATGCCATCTCAGAAGCATTTACGCCAATCCCTGAAGTAGCTAGCAACGATCTCCGGTTTTCTGCAGAGGGAAATGTTCATTGAATAAACCACCTTTCCTCGGAAACAATGGTTCATTTATATTCTTATGTGGACCCAAGAATCAAGCCAATTTCATGTCCCTCTGGTATCGGCCCCCTGAAATCAAAAGCAAAACATAGCAAAACATATTGGCAACAACCATGTTCGATATTGAAGATTTTGTTCAAAGAAATTTGCTATTTCGGCAACACCAGGTAGCATCACTGTCACGATACATTCTGCATTCGGCTCTATACGCTCACCCCTGCCTGAGCAAGTCTCTCAGATGCCCGGGATTGCAATTCACCAGTGAAAACGATCCCATCATCACTGGCCTTCTTGAGGATCGACTGCAAGTTCGTCACAATCCCTGCAAACGGGCTGTCCGCTTTCTTGGCTGATTCCGCGGTGACACTCCTTTTCCGTGCGAAAGTGCAGAAGCATGCTGAAAGGTACAGAACGGATTTCGGAATCATGCGGCATGCAGCAGCATGTAGCATGCAACATGCAGCATGAATGCAGCATGCATGAATGATCAACTTGGCAACAATTAATTTCCAATCCGGATTTGTCCCACTGAGATGTCGCGAGATGACGAACTTCCTTTTCATTGTTTGGGAATTGGATACACAAAAACACAAGTGAACCAAACGATGTGTGATTTCATCCAACCGCGCTGTGTCCTCCATGTGGGGCTGATAAGTAGAGTAACCAGTGTGAAGGTGTAGACGAACAGCTGCCCATCCGATAAGGTTGAGTTTGCACTTGCGAGGTCAATGTCAATATTGGCCAGGCCCATTGAAGTCCGAGCTGCTTGAAGGAAATTCTTAAGCTTTGCCACCGCTGCTGCTCCTGGTTCTAGCAAAGAACGCCCGATTTCCACAAACTTCCTGTCATCGTCGATATCATCTCCTTCATAAACTGGAAGCTTCAAGCTAACAACTGCATCCTGAAGCGTGGCTACTTGAGAATTCACCTTTGCCTGCATGTCTAGAACCCACTTGTCACAGGAGCTTTTGGCGGCAGTCAGGATTGCTGTCACATCCCTGACAACACCCAATGTGGCTAGCATCTTGCAAATGTGTTCTGGAGCAAAGTCTGCGTGCGCAAAGAATTTCTGCATCAGAGCTAAGGCTTTCAGACCCTCCAAGTTTTCACCAGTCGGTTTAAGGGACAGCTTGATACCCACCTTGAGGGCGATCATGTACTTCACGCCTGGGAGAAAGAAGGGAACACATGAATCACATGAACCAACTAGGCAATTCACCTGATGTTAGACCAGTAAGCCGCTCAGTGACATATGTGCTAAGCAATTGGGTTTTTGAACCCAATCAATCATTCAAGGTCCTATATCCATCTGTACACTGATACGCCAAACAGTTCAAAACACAAAAAGCCAAAATCTTCAGATAGATACACGTCCAAAGGTCTAGAACACGCGATGTTCCAGAATGCATCGATGGCAGATGCAGTCGCATTCATGCGATCCTTGTCATGTTGATCGAAAACATCTGCGGTTGAAAGCCTCATGTAGTCGTCCAACTGGGAACGTAGCTCATCCCAGCAAGTGAACAATTTCAGGTCGTCTGCCGTATCAATGCACTTGTGAATGGAGTCCACCATAGCCTTGGCCAATGACTTCTCCTTGTCGTGAAATCCCTGCTGCATGACTCCGAAGAAATACTCACGGAATTGAACCAATGATTTTGCTAGCTGTGTCATGTCTGCATGCTGCTTGGTGAGTTCCGTGTGGCACTCGTTCCATTGAGCCATCAATTCCTGCGATCGTTGCAAAGAAACTTCTCCATCTCCTGTTTTGCCATGACCGTTCAATGCATCCACTGCGGCACAGCACCGTTGAATCGTCTCGTGGTGCCTGATTCGCACACACTATTTCTGTATCTGTCTGCATACAGTGTACTTGATTGTGTCTTTGTGTGATTAGTGATTGCTTTAGATATGAACTTATCCATGTGTCTAATGTCTCGAAGTAGGGAATGACCAGCATGAACTGGCACCATGCGACGCAAACAAAAAAAAACAGAGTAACAATATTCGGATCATGCGTGTGCCGCATCACCGTGTCAGAAAAAAAACATTTTTGGACCAGCACACCTGAACACATTCTCGTCCGGAAGGAGACGGCGTAACGCGAGAACTTTCCAGTGCGGCACATCTAGGCACTTCATCTTGTTGTGTCCATGCACTGACTGGCTGGCAATGTAATTCCCCAGTTCAGACTCCACATGGCAAGTGACATAGAATCGAGCGACTTCCATGAGTCTACACTTAAGATCAGCGACATTCTTGCTTTCAGGCTTGTCTTTCAAATCGGTGTCCAGTTTGGTGAGGCGATCCCATAGTTCCACAACAGTGTCAACACCTTGATCCATGTTCATCGCGCTAGTGTTTTTCATCTTCTGCTCCTCCTCCCCAATTTTGCTGGTGACATCGCCAAGGTCAAGTAGGTTGGATTCTGAAGCCATTCGTTTTTGCGCCGTGGTCTCGGCCTCATTCAGCAAGGCATTGCCTTGGGGAAGACTGGTCATGACAAGAAACACGCGAGCATTTGCGTCAGGATCACGGACTGCCTTCACAAGATCTAAGATCTCATTGGGTAAAATGGTCTTGTCGTCAACCGTGAACAAAGTAGCCAGTGAAGACAACTGTGATCGCAACTGGGACGGCAGATCCAAGCCATCCTTTGCCAACAACGCCTCCATGAACTGACGGGTATTTTGAACACCCGGGTTCTGCAATTTCACCTGTGAACTTGGCATGGTACGAACAAGCTTCTGCACAACCTGCTCCACGATCAAGACGAGCTGTTCCTGAAAGAATTCATCATCTGTAGAAGACATCTTGTTTGACATGTCCAGGGCAGATTGCGCGATATCCTCGTAGCGGTTGTACTTGAGGTCGTCCATGACGCATGCTTTCAGTAGTTTGACCATTGCAATGCGGCCACATCCTAGGATTCTGTGCCGTGTCAACATGTACCAAACCCAGAGTGTATTTTTTTGTACTACCTTCATCTATATCTATGAAAAAAGAAACAGATATATAAACATAGATGCAGCAATGCATGTGTGCTCCGTAATGTTACAACGCTGTGTCCTTTTCTGATTCATGTACGTATAATATATATATATATATATCCATGTGTAGATTTAATTGTAACAACCATAGAGGTATTTTCATTAGAAGCTGGGTTCACCTGACCTGTATGAAGATAAACAAAACTCTGAGGAAAAAAAGGGGGAACGGAAACCTGTTTGATTGAACCGCTGAGATTCTGAAATTGAGAGGTGGTGCACCAAGCTGAGTGATAACATGTGACAGTTCACCAGCCTTCGGGGCGGCACTTCCAAGTTCAGTACAAAGCCGGCTGAAAAGATTCGCAGCATTGTTGACTTCCTTGAGGCGATCCATCTGCCTATCATCGTCTGAATGCTTACGGCGTTTCATCTGCGTAATTTTGGTGGTGCATTTTGCGATGATCTCCCTCGCCTTCGAACTTGCATCCTTGACATACTGAACAAGGTCTCCATCAGATTTCTCTGGTAATCCAGCCTCACAAATGGTGGTAATCAATTTCTCCATTTCTTCAACGAACCTATCGTCAGCATCCTGCAGGTTGGATGCTGACACACGGCCTCTCTTGGTGGGTGGAAGGTCCGGAAGTTCCCAATTATGTGGCTTGCAGTCTGCATCCAGAGACCGTTTCGGAGCACCGTTGCCAACGTTCTTGTTGATCTCCCCCAAAACTGGTCTGTGGCGTGCTTGATCTGATGCGGATGGTGGACCCATGCTAGCTGCTGGGCTCACTGCTGACACACCTCGATTGGCTGGGGTGCTTGAGGCATTCGCACCAGCGGATGCTGCTGCCGTTGATTTTGCCTTGGGTTTTGGCTTAGCCTTTGCCTTGACACCTGCTGAAGCGGGTTGACCCCCGAAAGCAAGCAGCAAATTTGACATCATATCTTGGTCAGTTGTATCCTGATCTGCTTCTTCTGGGGCCTCATCGCGGATCGAGATCGCGGAGGTAGTCTTGGGTTTAGCTAAATCTTCATCAGCCCCCGATGCTTCAGTCAAAGCCTTCTTGATCACCAAAGTGGGCGTACCAGATCCACTAGAATCATTGAGACCACATAGAACGAAATCCTGACTGGCATCAGAACTAGAAGCAAGCAGGGTCTTGAAGGCTTTTGTGTACAAATTCTCGGCCTGATTCTCGCGAAGTTCAATGTCGTCTGTCATCCGTGTTTTCATGGACACGGCATTCTTCTGTCTCTTGGCGCACTTGTACATGCCAATGTCTTCCTCTTTAATTACCATTACACCTTCCATAGAGCGTCCACGGAAAACACGAGTGACCTAAGGCCAAACTCGAGACTCGGACACCATGTATCTTTGTACATTGAACCCAAAAACATGAAACACAAAATATCAACCTATATATAGACTTTGCAAGACACGATTTTGTTCCTGGCTGGAGTTCCGTGCTTCTCAATGTACTTGTCCAGACGCATGAAATATTCTAACTCACCCTCCATTTCGTCTTCCTGACCAACGCAACTAATCAAAATATTAGCTGCAAGCTGCAAATGATACTAACATTAGGAAAAGATTATCGTTTCAAGCAAGGCGGTACTTATCTTTTCCTGAACTATGTCCTGTGTCTGTTCCAACTCCAGCAGTCGGGAAGGCTTCAAGTCGTCCTTGCCCCTGAGGATGAGACGTGGGTTGTCATTCTTCATGCGGATATACTTCGATCTGCATTGGAGAAATTCATGGTGCAATGATGGATTCCGATGGGTCGCCTCCGAATACACTTGGATGGTCGAATACTCGACAGAGAATCCACCATGAACGTATACGTATTTGCAGATCCTGCAAGCCACGGAGGAAAATGAAATATTTTGAAGTAGGGGTACCCCAAGCCTTTTAGGTTTGAATTTAAAAATGATGTTGGATTTGGAGCCCCATAAACATCTAATGTTCAAGTCCCATCCACCATGCATATATACATAGCCGTGTCCAATCACATTGATAAGTTTGAGCATTCCAATGCTCACACAGTAAGTTTGCAGGATTTGGTTACCAAAAAAAATGCTATACCATTCGTGTCCTGCAATAGACTCCAGTCGGAGCAACACGGGTTCCGTTGCCCCACGGCAATAGCTCACCCCACGCCTCTGTGAGGCTATCGTCAAACAAAGGAGATTTGCTGATAGAACTCATGTCACACAATCTGCAGTATTTGATACGATACGTTCCTGGTAATTCGTGAAGGCCCAGTTCCTCATCGGATGGGATTTCGGTTCTGGACTTACGATCAGGCGCAGTGGAACGTGCACCACAATCACTCTTCGAATCCTCATGGTCGAATATCTGCTGCTTCATCTTAGAAGCTGCTGTCGGCATGATGAAGCGCACAGACCGAAGGTGAATTTTTATTTCTCAACGGAACCGGAATAAAACATATTCACAAGTTAAGGCTAGTTACAAATCGGAAAATAGAAAGCTTTGATATCAATACCTCTAGCGACTGACCCAATACAAAACAAAATGCAAATAACATATATGCTGATAGTTGGTTGAAATTATGTTATTTTTTTCTGTCTTCATCACATCGACTGAGGCTGCCTGCGAAATCCATATGAACATCTGTTCCAATGTCCAGGCAATCTAGATGTTTTCTAGTGGCAATGCGTGCAGGCTGCAAAGCAGAGATGCAATATGAATCCGAAATTTCATGAACATAAATAAATATATGTCTTGGTATATGTGTTTAAAATAAATGCAAATATGTATCCTAAATGTTGAAGAAGAAAACATGAAATGAAAATATAAATCCTTATGTATACGTAAAAACAAATGAACATATGATCTCACAAATGTTGAGAATTGAACTCACATATGTACACACAAATGCCTATATGTCCGTAAGGCCTTAAAATACGTTTTTAAGGCCTTAAAAACATATCTACATTTCAATTATATGTTTTTAAGGCCTTAAGGACATATCTTAAGGCCTTAAAAACATATGTACATTTCCCAGAACATTTACTGAACATAAGTGAAAACATCAGCTAATCATTTGTGCCTAGAAATGATACCAAAATGCTCAAATGTCTATAAGATCTTATTTTCTTATTTTAAGATCTTACACGCGTATATACATATCTATGAACATAAAGATACACAATACAAACATATACCATTGCATTTCGAAACATATACTAAATGTATCTACATTCATTTTCAAATCATTTTCTATTCCTGTATGTCTTCATATCTATTGATCTCTGGATTGCTATTGCATCTCTGTCGATGGTGTTTGTGTATCTCAAGAAACTCAATCCTACCAAGCCGGAACTTGCACACTAGACACACTCGCACTGCTGCAACACCTGCCACTATGTGGCTCATGCCTCGCGACTAGTGATGCAAGTGGTTTTCCGTCATCGCCATACTGATCAAGAAAGGAAACAGGTCGTAAGCATCCAAGTGCCTAAAAAGAAACGGACAATAGAAGTCCCTGGTGGTGCACACTTGCAACATGCATCATGCAGGCGTTATGAATGAATTTTGATTTGCATAAACTAGCCGTACAGTTCCAGTCTTGGAATGAGCTAGTAGGTTTCTTTTTTACATATGCAGGCATATATTTTTAAATCAAATATTGAATTAATCAACCCGTAAAACATAGAATTAGAATTGACAGTTCTAGAACTGTTCGGAATGATGCAGAAAATCTGCTTAACATCAGCTATGAATCCTATGAATCATAACTATATCACACCATAACTGGACCATAACAAACGTTTCATCGTGTTGATGGTCCAGCGGACGAGGAGGATGGCTCTGCAGCTGCATGCTGCACAGGACGAGCATTGATCTGCATCTTGCCTGAGTACCACCTCAGTGGAGAGCATCTATTTCATCACCGACTAAATGTAAGATCGTACTTCCCAAATGAAAAGAACCTCATTTTATCCTGATACTGGTAAATATAATGAAATCGACCTTAAATTGAATTCATTGAAAGGAAAAATAAACCGCCAGGATCTGATGCTGTGCCAAAACGAAACATATTTGACATAACTATCCAATCGTGCAAAGGAACTCTTTGCTATGAAGAAAGGCGTTTGATCTGCCGGCAATGTCCCTTCCCAGGAGCAGCCATCGAAGCATAGTTTCATCTGGATTATCTCTTTGTAGTTGGGAAACTCGTTTGATCATGGAACACTTGGAGTGCATATAGCAAGTCGCGCTCAATGCATGACGCGACGTGTTCACGTGCAGCTGAGTCAAACGTCCTTATCAGTATGCGCTGGGCGAGGAAAATGCAAATGGCACAACTTAATGTGGCAAGTCTTCCTACTGTACTCTGTTTGCCTGTTTGTCATCAAAAACAAAATTCCACTTGGTGGTTGAAGGACCCATCTCCTTTTGATGGTTTTTGAATGTGGCTAGATAAGGACCCCTCGCCAGAAGGCCTTCATGTTGGAGACCTTTTTTGGCGAAATCAAGGAAATATCGTTAAGAATTAGATAATGGCATTGGCTAAGTATATTATATAATCCATCAGCAAAAATAGATGTTTTTTTTCATCTTGAACTAGATTTTAACAAGTGTCCTGTGCAGCCCGTTTTTGATATTAAAAAAAGGGTTTCCAGGACATCTGTTACAAGTCTAAGAAAACAGGTGAAAAATCAAAGAACAAATCCGAAACTAAGTATCTAACATATTATGCACTTTTTTGGAGGAAGTTATACTTATACCGTATACCGTATACCGTACCAAAAAAAGGCGCGCAAACCTTACAGAATAATTATTTAAAGAATACTAGAGTTTCGACGTGAATCCAAAGGAAAGGAAAAAAAAATGAACATCCTATTATCCCGACCATGCAAGAACAAGATCAAGAATCCAAGCCATTTTCCGGTGACCGGATCCTGAACATAGCCATCAGCATCCACAGTTGCTGCTGAGGGCGGACGTGGTGCCAGAGAATCATCTTGAGGTGATATCTTAGCAATGCCAATACCATGAACGGGGTTCTCTTTGTTGGCAGCATATTCCCAATTCACCTCTACCTCACTCGGTTGATCGGCCCCTGCGTCCAAGCCATCTTGTTCGTTCGACCGACCTGCATCTGGCAGACATCATTTTACACCGGACGCAGCTTTGGAAGAAATTTGAACTGCCGAACAACATGTAAAAAACTATCTCGCATCGGATTTCAATCAAACAGGAAAGGTGAGATCATAATCAACCGTGAGGATCACTGGCAAGTTCCAAGGAACAATTCACCTGTCATACGCATCGAACTGCCTTGCGACCGATGCTCCAACAAAAGCAAAGTAGATTTCGTACGGGCCCAACAAGAAATTAATGCAACTTCTTTAAGTTGGAGGAAACCGAATGAATAAGTTCATTCAATAATCAAATCTTTCCTCCACTTTAATCTTTCCCTGATTTCAAGAACATGGGTTTCCATGGCCAGATAGGATCATCTCATAATTAATCGTACTGTATCGCCATCTCTAATCAAAACATATCTTCGTATCACATTGTTATATGTAATCGTACTCGGAAAGTCAACTAAGGCTGTCACGGCACCTACAACCTGACAGTCTTACAGTAGGTGCCTTCGTCTGGCACTGGCGTGGTAGAAGGATTCAGCCTTTCAGGTGGAGCTGGCGGCATGTGTCGCGGCCGTGGTTCCACCTGCACTGTTCTCGATCGCGTCGTCGGTGTTCTTGCTGATCTGGAATGTTTGGAGTGATCAGTTTCATCATCATCGTGCATCTGCATTAGGACAGACATACATACCTGGACATCATTGTCATCGTGATTCAGGTCATTTTGATCATCTCGATGATTCCCTCCTCGTGCAGGTGGAACTGATATCCCAGTGAAATGTGTGTCGGCATCAGAAACACTGACTGAATTGAGGGATATAACACGGTATTTTTCGACCACCTTGATGACGTAATCTTTGAACCCAGTTCTTCGAAAATGGAAGGCCATCTGATGCATGGTTTGTATTTTGGGCATTGTCTGAGCACATGTGTGTGTGTCGTTGGCCACCACTGTGCAATCCAGAGAAGCAGTAAAGGATCTGTAGCAACAAACATCCTCACATAAGAGTGGTTGACCACAAGGACTCACAGTACATTGCCACATGCAGACTTGTAATGGGCTCAATGTGACCTGACATACCATGTAGCAAAGAGTCTCGCGAGCAACGGTGCATGGATCTGGTAAAGCCTCACAGGAGGAAAGAGATGACTTGGGTCTCGTCAATAAAAAAAGCAATGCTGGTTCGGAAGTTTTGCGTCCTCTGTGCATCCTAGCCAAATCACGCAATGTTCGAATCACATCCATGATGTTACGTTGTTCGTCTCGTTGTAATCTGTTGTAACATCCACCCAAGAGCATGCAGAATGTTTCATGGGTCACTGAATTTCCAGCGATGTCACAAACGTCATCAACAAGAGGCCCATATTCTGTGCGGAATGATGCCGATTGACCCCGAACAAATTTTGGTTGCATCAGCTGCTGTGTGACATGTTGCTGCGCAATTGGGAATTCCATATCGCCGATGCCCCAGGGACCCACTTTGGCATCACCTGAGGAACTTTGATGTTGCAGCGCACCCAGAAGCCCACTAGCAGAACCAAACCGTGAAATGGGATGATTAGTCGCCTCTGCACGTTTCTGTTTGGACTCTTTGTTCACTGCCTTTGCTTGGCCACTGTAAAACTGTTTCCAGTTTGGATTTTGTTGTCTCTCCCTAGCCTTTTGTCGAAGGCGTTTGTATCTTTCCTGTACAGTCTCACCTGGAATGACTGGCTCAGAGAAGCAATCACGGATACAAAGGGACCATCCATTGACTTTGACTTTGTCAGTCGCAAGTTTGGCCCGTTTCCGCTCAATGTTCCCTGAAGACAACGTCACACCCTCGCAGCGTGCAGACATATCTACACTCGTTGCAACATCTGTCAACTCTCTGGTTTGATTGTCAACTGCAGGCCGGCTTGTCTGCACATCAGAAAACTTACGCTTTCTGTCCCTAGACCTCTTATCCACTTGCATTGCGATTGTATGTTGATGCTTCAGTTCTGACAAAATATGTTTTGAGATCATTGTGGATGTATTGTGTCTCCGTCCTCGAACATATGAACGAGCTGATGAACTTCTAGCAAAGTTATTCTCCAGCTCAACATTGGTGGTCTTTGAACTGAACAAGCATAGAAGGACCTGGATGAAGCCACTGCCAGGCATCAAACATTCTAAGCCTTGATGTGCAAATTTCACCTTCAACGGTCGGGCTGCACCGACTTCCAGGCAGCATTCATCTAATGAGAAAAAATCATTCAACACTTGTTCCTTTGCTTGACGTGGAAAGGCTG